GGTCCCTAACAGTTGTTAAATGATTTAATTTAAGTTTATTATTTTCAGTGAACATATGATTTTCTAATTGCAAAAAAAACTTCTATAACTAACTTCTGAATTACTTCACTTTTTACTGAATTACTTTTGTAGTTTATAAAATAGAAGGTGAGAAATCAGAATATGTTGTTGTTATTGCTGCAAAATTGATTTTGGTGATGCAAAGTTGAGTTAAAGTTAGATGATGGTCAGTTTGTATATGAAACATATGTAGTGTAATTAATTCCAATCATTTCTTAAAATTGAATACCCACTATGTTGGGAGGTACAAATAACAATTTCCTTAATTAATTGCAACTAGTTGCAACTAATTGTAGCATATAAAAATTGAATTGTGGTTGCAGTTGTGGCATATGAAAATTGAATGCAGCTAATTGTGGTTCCCATATTTAACCTAGATACATTAAACTTTGTCTGTAAAACTCCCTAAATTAGTAAAACATGATAAAAATAAAGAAGCAAAGAATATTTCGAAAATTTTGTATAACAGGTTTTTGTTATGGTCATCATTCCACCCTTAATAGTGGCTTAATTATTTTAAACATAAATTTATTTATACAATCAAAGAGATGGAAGGGATATATAATAAATACCAAAACAATTCAATTCATATTGGAGATTGTGTCCAAGTCTTACCCAAAATTTCCAAAATTTTATTTATACCAGTATTCTAATACAAACTCAATTTCACTATTCTTTAACTTTCTAATCTTAATATGCAATTGGTTTTCTTTACAAATACAATCAATAATTTCAATAACTTCTTTGGCTATCTATCCCCAGGAATGGCTCCTATCCCCTGATTGCATTTTCTCAGCAGTTCTTTGTTATCTGCCTGAGTTCAAATATTATCATTAGCATCATTACCTTGAGCCTTACTCTTGTATCTTCAGTTCAAATTTAACTGGTTTTTTCATTAATCTTAGGTCTTGACCTAAGTTCTACTAAAAAGAAATAAAAATAAAAGTAATAAATATATTTAACAAAGATGTCTACTGGTAAGATAGTAATTAATTAAATAATTAGTTAGATGGGTTTAGCAAAAGAATCAATCCTTCTGCTGACAAGAGTTTTAGTTAGAATATAGTTTTATTATTATGTTTATTATTATTATTAAAATATATGTTATTATTAGATAAAGATATTACATGAAGTTAAGAAAGTTACAATGTTATTTATACATGTTAAAGGTTCAATCATTTAGTTCTCTGATCTCTTTGAAATCCTAATTTGTTCTAATTAAATATACTCCTTAAACATAATTTGAACCTTCTGTGTAGAATTATCTTCAAGTTATTTCTGGTGTGAACAAGTAATTTTAAATTTCTTTGTTAAATTTAATCTAGGTCTATTACATTTTGAAATGTTGGAATATGGTATTTATTTTCCGAATAGATTATTCTATTGGTTATGTTGATCGTGTAACAGTTGATAAATTGTACCGGTTTTATTTCTTGTTTGGTTTTTCCGTGATGATCTCTTCCAGTTACAATTTTTCATTTCCGATTTATTTATTAGTTTCCCGTGATTCATAATTAAATATTTTGCTGGCCTGACATCTTTTCTTTATTTAGTATAAATAAAACTTCTATCTGTTTAAACAGCACTTAACTCAACTTTAACATCAATCAATATTAATATTAATATCAATATATATATCAACATTAACGTTACACGACACAATCATTTTCGTAACACTTAAGTTTCGAAAAATTTCTTTTTAAAATTCATATTTTTTCGTCAATAAATAGATTTATTACTAAATTTAAAAATGGGTGTTCCAGCATTATTCAGGTAATTCTTGTTGTAAAGATCTATTTGTTTTCCAGCAGCAGCAGCAAAGTTTCATATCAAATCCATTGCATAATAATAATAATATAGATGGCTTTCAAAAAAATATCCCAAAATCATTCAACAAGTCATCGAGGAACGACCGATTATGATAAATGGTGTAGAAATACCAGTTGATACATCAAAGCCAAATCCAAATAAGACGGAATTCGATAATTTATATCTTGATATGAATGGTATTATTCATCCATGTTGTCACCCAGAAGATAAAGTTAGTTAGTGTGTTGATATTATCATGGGCTTATTTGATTTTTTGATTAATAATAATTAACACATCATTATAATATCATTTTAGCCCACTCCTGAAACTGAAGAAGATATGATTATAGATATCTTTAAATATACCGAACGAATTGTGGCAATGATACGTCCAAGAAAAGTATTATATCTTGCAATCGGTAAAATATCAAATAAAATTTATATTTCATGATTTTTATAATGATAATTATAATTAATTAATTATTTATTTATTTAATATATAGATGGAGTAGCTCCTCGTGCTAAAATGAATCAACAACGATCTCGTAGGTTTAGAACAGCACGAGAAGATAAAGAAAAGGCTAATGAAAAGACTCTAGAAATGGTTGCACTTGAGGGCATGTAGTCATTAATAATTTTAAAAATTATAATAAAGATTTTTAATTCATTTATAATTCAATTAAAGGTTTTTTTTAAAAAAATAGAATCGGGAGTACTGTTTGATGAAGACCTAAAGAAGAAAAAATCATTTGATAGCAATTGTATTACACCAGGTACTCCTTTCATGGCAAAACTCGCTGCATGCTTAAGATATTGGATTGCTGATAAATTGAATAATGATGTTGGATGGAAAAATGTACATACGATTCTATCTTTTAGTTTAAATTTTTGGAAAAAAAATTTGATTTTAATACTTATATATACATACATTCGTTTATACGTCTCATTTACAATAGTTGAAAGTGATATTATCAGATGCAAGTGTTCCTGGTGAAGGCGAACACAAAATTATGGATTTTATTCGTAGTCAACGTACAAGTCCTTATCATGATCCTAATACACATCATGTCATATATGGATTGGTAGGTTTATGGAAGGGATGATACATTATTTTTAATAATTAATTATATAACCTTACCTTTCAATCAAAAAACCATTTTAGGATGCTGATCTCATTATGTTATCATTGGCTACGCATGAACCTCATTTTAAAGTGTTGCGTGAAGATGTCTTCTTTAGAGAAGGCATATATAAAGGATGCTTTATATGTGGTCAAAATGATCATATAGCGAATCAATGCACAGGTTTTTAAATATATCTTTTTTACATTATTTTTATAAAAGCATTTATTTATTTATATGCAAAATATTTTCAAAAAACCTTAATAATAATAATAGGAAAAGCCAAACAAAAAGTAGGAGACCATGATGAAAAAGGTAGAGAAGTACTACTAAAGCCCTACGTATTTCTAGATGTGCAGGTTCTTCGTGAATATCTTGAGATAGAACTCAACATTGGACCATTACCTTGGCCTTACAATTTTGAAAACTCAATAGACGATTGGGTATTTATGTGTTTCTTTGTCGGAAATGATTTTCTTCCGCATTTGCCTTCTTTGGAAATTAGAGAAGGTGCTATTGATACACTTATTACCATTTGGAAAAGGTGCTTGCCAATAATGGGCGGATACATGACTACTAATGGAAATGTTTGTAGTTTCTTTTTTGATATATAGATGAAATCTTTATTATACTTGAGATGATCATTGATGAAATTTTCACGACATTTTCCTAAAAATATAGGTTAATTTAAAAAGAATGCAACATCTAGTTACAGAATTAGGAAAAATGGAAGATGATATTTTTATTCGTAGGCAAAGAAGTAAGTAATATAAACACTAAAGATAAAATTATATTATAATTGTTGTTATCATTATTTATTATTATTATTATTTGTGATAAAGACGAATCGAGACGAAATCAACAAAATAATAATAATGTTCCGAAAAAACGAAAAATAAGTCACGATCCAATAACAAGCTATGCTAATCGTAATGCTGCACAATCATTAAGATCTGAACTATTGAATTCATCATCATCAACAACAACTTCAACAGTAGCAATAGTAGAAACAACAGAAACAATAGAAGAAACAACAGAAACAATAGAAGAAACAACAATAGTAGCTGGAGGAGAAGGAAGAGGAAATGAGGATTATCAACAGGCGGCAGAAAGTATTGATGATTTGTTGGCTTCTGTTAAAGGTGTTAAACGAAAAGCTGAAGAATTTGATGAAGAAAATGATAAAGACATCGTTGCGGTAAATGAAGAAGCTGCTATTGTAGAGTATCAAGAGGACACAACGACACCTGCTACTGCTGTTACTGATTCAGCTTCAGAAATTGCTGATTCTGCCACAAATGAAGAATCTCATGAATTTATTGATCCTATCAGGTAATTAATAATAATAAGTAATAATTATATGATTAGTTTTACGAATATTATACATATATTTTTATTTACTTTATAATATATTATCATTAGACTTGGAGAACCAGGTTTCAAAAAACGATATTATAAAGAAAAATTTGATGTTGATATATCAGACGAGCCAACCGATGAATTTCGTAAAAAGTATGTTTATTTGCCTAACTTATAATTAATTAAAATGATCAGTTTTAAAAAAAGAAAAAATCAACTACTAATCAATCATATATATTTATTATATTTAAACGAAATACAATAATAATTAGCGTTGTAAAGAGTTATGTTGAAGGATTATGTTGGGTTTTGAAATATTATTTTCAAGGTGTTCCATCGTGGAAATGGTATTATCCGTATCATTATTCGCCTTTTGCATCTGATTTTGTTGATATAGGCGATTTGGATATTAATTTTGAATTGGGTGAACCATTTAAACCATTTGAACAATTGATGGGTGTTTTACCTGCTGAAAGGTAATTAATTTAATGATATTTTTGATATTTGACATTGTGCGCGTGTGAAAAGTTATAATAAATCCAACTAACCATTAAATATATATATATAGTAAACAACATTTACCTTTACCTATACAACAACTTATGACAGATTTAGATAGTGAGATTATTGATTTCTATCCGTCAGATTTTGAAATAGATCTTAATGGGAAACGATATACTTGGCAAGGTAATAAATTTTATGTTTTTTTATTATATATAAATCATATTTTTATAATTTATTTATGAATATTGTAGGAGTTGCATTGCTTCCATTTATTGATGAATCCAGGTTATTAAAAGCAGCCGAATCAGCCTATTCTCAATTGAGTGAAGATGAATTGGGGAGGAATGCTTTAGGGTCGGAAATATTATGTTTTAGTAATAATCATAAATTATATGATGAATTGTGTGTATTATATTCTAAAAGAAAATCGGATCAAGTAAGTATTTATCTTTTTGAAGCGGTGTGAAAGATATGTTTATATTTATTATTCATTAATTTATAAATTTATTGTTATGATTATAGCCTGTGTCATTGGATCCTATTACAAGTGACAAATTAAGTGGATTTGTTTCAAAGGATCCGAATTTTATACCTGAAAGCACGTTTTATTCGCCTTTACCAGATAAAACTTTACCAGATATTGCAAACGATAGATCATTAAGGTAATCGATATTAACAATAATATTGATTTGATTTATTAACAAAGAAAACTAATTATAAAGCTAATAATTTTTATATAACAACTCTTATTAGCGTATTATTTTATTTACCAAAGAAAACTGATAAAACTACTCATAAATCAGTTTTATTGAAAAATGTCAAATTGTCACCCAGAGTTTTAGGATGGGAAGATCAGGAATGGATTAGAAATGGCGGTGGTAGTCGTGGTAGAGGAAGAGGTAGAGGAGGAAGTTCTGGCAGTGGAAGTAATTCTGGAGGAGGGTATGATAATTATAATAATTATCAAAGAGGTGGTGGCGGTGGCGGTGGCGGTGGTTATAATGGAGGAGGGGGGGGGAGATATGATAATTATAATAATTATCAAAGAGGTGGTGGCGGCGGCGGTGGCGGTGGTTATAATGGAGGAGGAGGGGGAGGAAGATATGATAATTATAATAATTATCAAAGAGGTGGTGGCGGTGGCGGCGGTTATAATGGAGGAGGAAGAAGATATGATAATTACAATAATTATCAAAGAGGAGGTGGTCATCCTCCAAAATACTGTGAGTTTACGAATCGTAATAATAATAAATATTTAATTTTCATAATTACTTATTATTCATTTTCTATATTATTTTATTAGAGATACTCACTTGAAAGAAGCAGATGAAAACTAATACGCTGTTAATTGCGATCCGTCTATATAAAAATTTCCAAATGCAAAGAATCATCCATCAATAAGATTAGCAGGAACACTTCTTCAATTCAACATACAATCAAACGTTAAACGAGATTAACATTGTATTTAAGAATTTTTTTTTTTTTTTATAATTATTTACTAATTAATAATAAAATGAATATCTATCAAAAAGTAATTAACAAAATATGTAACCTGAAAAAATTTCATGTAAAACAATATTTATTATAGAGAGGAACTAGAGACTTGATTGGGTTTTCAAAACATTATTATAGTTCAGAATTATACTTTTTGTCTTTTACGTTTTACTTGAGAATTATTACTATTAATACCTTTTTTTAGACCTTTTATTAGCGTTATTCCTACTTCCTTGCATCTGCCATTCATTATTACCTGTTGCATTTCTTTCGTTACTCTTCAATATTCTTTTTTCAGCTGATTCTTTACATGAATTTTCTGAATACCTTTAATTTCTGCGCAATCTGCTATTTTCTTCAACTCCTCTGGCTTTTTTTTTGGTTTTTTATCAATTAAAAGAAAGCAAATATTATTTGTAATTTTAAACTTGGTTTTATTTGTTTGATCTGAAAAATATCACCCAAAATTAGAAATAACCTTTAATTATAGCATCGCACATACCTTTATCTCCTATGTTCGTAGAGATAAAGTTTCATTCAGCCTGGATGGGTGTATATCCCCTTATCGATCTTTGGGTATTGGTCGGATAATTCGCTCAAGATCTTGATCAGGGATACCTCCATTATAATGTTTGAAATAATTCATACTCTATAATAAAACCCATTAAATAAAATTGATCTAAAAATTGATAATGAACCTTGTATTTATAGAAAGATAAAATCGTTTTTTATTTGTGGAATCTTCCAGTAAAATTCACCAAAAAGTACAGAATTCGTATGGATAGATACAGGATAGATACAGAATGCATACGAAACACACACGAAATGCACACGGGATTTACGGGAAACATAATAATACGCATTTTCCCGTACTAGCACGGTTCCCATACTAATAGTAGTATGAATTAAGTGAATATGAAATACGTACTAGTATGGAAAAAACGAATTCTGTATCGGTATGTTTTCCGTAAATCCCGTGTGTATCCTGTATTAGTATGCTATTTTCTATAGAGAATAAGAGCGAATACCATGGAACAGGCTGACCAGATTCCTCTTCCGATAAACAATTACGAGATCGTAATAAACTAAACAGATTCGCAAGAGATGCAATTGATGAAATATGGTTACCCAAAAATGATAGATATTTAGAAAACGGAGATGAAGAGAATGCCGGCAATATTTACAATTAATGTCGATGGTGATTTATTGGAAATCCTCCGCCATGCAAAAAGAATCAGGGTTATATAAAAATTGTTTGTTTAAATGAGCAAAATAATCTTATATATATTCCATCCATAAAACAAGATGATGTATTCTCTCGTCCATGCGTTGCTGACCTTTAGAACTCCATTAGCGTGTATTATATGTAAAACAATATACACTACTGATCATTCGATAGAAACTATGTCAATCATCTCGCAATCGTCAGATATGTCAATATAATCGCAAACTTCAACAGTGTCGACCATTACCTCAACACCAAAATCACCAGAAAATTAGTGAAAAAAAGGAGATCGGTTAAATCCTCAAAAACGTCAACATAAAATCACAATTATTATTTTTTCAAGCACAAGATTAAAAAATAACAAACACACTCCGCTGCTTTAATAGGTTCAAAGAACATTGTACTTTCCTAATAAAAATAAAGTCAATCCACCAAGAAGTATTGGTGATAAAACATATATTATATGGTAAAAAGAAATTTTATTAAAACCTTTTCTCTAGTTAAAATCATCATCATAGCAAACGATTGAATAGTGTAAATTATGACGGTAAATTAATTGAAATATTTTGGTTATATATCGCATTCATCAGCAAATTTTACAATAAATGTAAAAATAAATTTGTAAATTTGTAAAAAAATTACTATTACATTTATAAAAAGCATTTTTCTATAACTTTGAATGCATTTATTATTTATATTTTTATTATTATTAGTGTAATTATAACAACGAATTCATAAATATATGAAGAAAACATTAATAATATAAAATAATTATTATGTACAGTATATGAAGCAATTATATTATATGTACACTATTGATC